CCACTATAAATTATTTGCAACTGTTAATATATATCAAAAGAAAGGTAAATCGATTACCTTTCTTTTGATTATTATATTGTTAAAATCGCTTAACTTTTTTATAGAAATTTTTCAACTTTTGAAATCATCTATGTGCAAATAAGTAATACTAATAATAAGAAATTAAGCAACCACATATGTATGTAAAAATATATTTATTAATGTTAATTACAATTTTTATTCATAATATTGATTATTAGCTATGTATATTAGGTAATCAATTCATTTTGAAAATAAGTTTTGCAAAATAAAAATAAAAAATTTTTTGGATTTTTTATTTAAAGTTTCTAAGGTTATTTTGAATTCGCTGTGAAGAAAATGCAACCCTGCGCCGGCTGAAAGGGGCAATGCTAGACGAGTGCAGCTATATGTTTTCCTTAGGAAGTATCTGAATGAGTGCGACAGTGATGCAAGGCTCACACGTACAGGGGGAAACTGGTGAAAATCTGCACACCGCCCATACAAAGTTCACCAGTTTTGAAGTGAACGAAACCCGCGGTTTCATCAGATTTTTTCACCACTTTTGGCTGACAGGGTAATTTGTCAATAGAGTTGTAAAACTATCTATAGTGCCACCATCGATAATTTCCATGTTTCAGAAAAAAACCATTCCTACTAGAAAAGTGTGACTGCCATACCTAAACAAAAGCGTCAGCGTTGTCTGGCTGTCAAAAAATTCTCATGCCCATACAATTTGTATGAAGCATACCGAAATAACGCGGCGTCAACGCTGAGCGGTTGGAAAATCCGATTTTGACAGGGCGTTAGATATTGAAGTTGGCTGCAGAAAACGGCGAAACTGTCATTTTCGTGTTACACACAAACAAACCATGAACCAAAAAGACAAGATCACGCGGGCTGGAGACTAGCCCGTTAGAATCGCATTTAGGAAAAAAGTTGAAAAGTTGAGTTTGTTTACATTTCTTCGTTGTTTACGATTTGGTGGTGGCTTTTTACTGCAATTTTCTTCATTTTCACTTGTGACAACGTGTGTACACATAAGATAAAGAATAATTTAACACAACGGCATGATTTATAGAAAAATTTGCATAATAAAAATGATTTTTCATGCGTTCAACAATTTCGCGGTTTTCTCCGTTCTCTTCGTTGTTTACTTCTTACAACAAAGATGGCGTCGAGATTTCGGCAGCTAGAAAATAACTTTTTTCGTTTTTTCCTTCCCGCGTGATCTTGTGTCTTTCGTTCATGCAAACAAACCTATGCTTATTCAATTCAATTTATTAAGTCTATGATTTTTATAAATCTTACAGACTAGCAATGCAAAACTTACAGACTAGAAAAACAAATCTTACAGACTAAAAAGATACATGCGTATGCTATTAAATATAATATGAAGCTAGTTTAGAACCAAAACATGACCTCGAAAGTGCGAAATCCAGATCAAGACTACAAAAAATTTTATTAAATTCTGCGAGAGCCCTCGAGATGGGATCAAAATTAAAGTAATTAGCTCGGATTATCTTGACATTAAACGGATAATGCGCGCGGAGAGTTCTGCGCGGGACATTAAAATTTATTTGTGCTAAAAGTTCCGGACAGTTAACCAAACCACAGATTAGGTCATAAATAAACATCAGAGTTTGAATAGAACGCCTGGACGCCAGTGACTTCATGCTTATGAGGGCACAACGGGCACTATAAGATGGTAATGGATCAGAGAAGCGAAGCGGTTGAAGAGCAAATCTGCTAAAACTTCTTTGTACTCTTTCAATTCTCTGAGAATGAACAGCATAAATCGGGCTCCATATTATCGATGCATATTCTAATTTCGAGCGCACTAAGCTTTCATATAAAGTTTTCCTGGTGTATGGATCTTTGAAGTCTTTGGCATATCGCCGCAAAAAAGCCAAGTTACAATAGGCCTTTGGTAAAATAAAACTTATGTGATTTGAGAATGTAAAGCCTGAGTCAAACATTACTCCAAGATCAACAAACTCACTAACAGTAGAAAGGTTGTCATCAAAAAGTTTATAAGTAGACATATGGATGTTGAGGGTTTTCGAAAGCTTCATATGGAAGCATTTTTTAATATTAAGGCGTAAATTATTAATAATACTCCAATTAGCTAAGTTATTAAGATCGTCCTGTAGCAGGACAACATCTGAGAAGCTTGCTATGGTTCTGAAAATCTTTAAGTCATCTGCATAGAGCAGATAATTCGAGTTCCTAAAACAAGATCCTATATCATTAATAAAAAGAAGAAATAGAATTGGTCCAAGAATACTACCCTGAGGAACCCCAGATGTGGCTACGAAAGAATAAGACTTAGTGTTCTCAATTTCCACAAATGACATTATGTTGCTGAGATAAGATCTAATCCAGCATAAAAAGGTAGAATGGAAACCCATTTTTTCGAGCTTGTACAATAGTATACTATGGGTAACAGTATCGAAAGCCTTAGCAAAGTCTGTATAGATAACATCTACATGTTGGCCAGTCTTAAATGACGAAACGCAAAATTGTGAAAAAGTAGCGAGGTTCGTAACCGTGGATCGACCGCTAATAAAACCATGTTGACACTCATCTATGGAACCTTTAATTGCAAACAATAACTTCTCTTTAACTACTTTCTCAAAAAGTTTCGAGCAGTTAGAGAGTTTCGAGATCGGTCTATAATTAGCTACATTATTCTTGTTGCCAGATTTAAAGATTGGAGTGATAGAGGCTATTTTCCATCGGTCAATAAACTTACCACTCGCTAATGAGAAATTAAAAATATAATACAGAGGTTTGCAAAAAAGACATACTGCATTTCTTCAATATAAATGACGAGAGTCCGTCAGGATCGCATTTCAATGAGGTTTTAAGGGCAGCAATACCATTGATTACGTCAGTTTCCGAGATTGACAAGGACCCAAAACAGACCGTTTTAGCAACACCGGCACAGAAACTACCAGCCGTATTGCTTGAAACAAAATTTGATTTGAAAAAATCAGCAAACAGGTTAACAGAATCCAGTAGGCATTCAGAAGATGCACCGCAATAAGTCATACAAACCGGAATATTAGAACAACCCTTCTTAGAACTAATATATTTCCAAAAAGCTTTAGGGTTTTCCTTCAGCTCATTTTCATACCTAGAAATATATTCTTTATATAAGAATTTATCCAGCACATTAAAATCTTTACTATATCTCATATAATTTTCCTTATGGAGGTTATTATTAGAAGCTTTATAAAGTTTAAAAAATTTGTTCCTAAGATTTTTCAATTTCTTGAGGCGCTTGGTATACCATGGAAGTTTATGCTTTCGCTCAGGTAGTAAAGAAAGATTATTAGTAAAGATTTCATATATATATTGCATAGGAAAACATCGAAGCATTCCTCAACACTTTTCGAGTGGAAGATAGATAGCCAATCCACTTCGAGAATTTCAGCATTTAGGGAGTCAAAGTCCGCATCACAAAAATTAAAACTAATATTGGAGATTGCACTTGAACTTGAAAGAAAATTAACAAACTCGACGGAGAGAGAAAGTGGAACATGATGCATATCTGATTTACATATCGGGAATGTGGATTCAGAGACTTCAAAGGTTAAATTTTCATCAACAAAAACCAGATCCAAGAGATTATGTAATGAATTGAAAAACGAATTAATTTGGGTGAGATTAATACTAAAGAGGCTATCAATGAAATTTATTTCATGCGAGCTATTCACATTTGTGGGCGTTAAAATACCGTTATTAAGAAAATTTAACCAAGTAATTTTGCTCAGGTTAAAGTCTCCTAGGATACAAAAATGACTGTCTTCATTTGCTTCATACAGACTCATAATATTGCTTATATGAGTAGCATATAAAGAATCAGCGCTAGACGGTGGTATGTAAGATACATATAAATATAGTTTGCCAAGATTACCAAAAATGCATACACAAAGCTGATCTAGGAGAGAATCATCGTTTTCCAGCTGAACTAAAGATGAGCGAAGCTTTCGAGTTACTGCGATTAAAACCCCGCCCCCTCTTAAGCAGTTAGTCTTAAATGCGTCTCTATCCTTGCGATACAAATGAAAAAGATTAGGATCAAAAAAACTCAGCATCAGCAAAATTACTGTTTAGCCAAGTTTCAACAATTACATATACATCAAATTCACAGCGAGAGGTGGATAGAAAAAACCTCATTAGCTTTTGTACGCATTCCCGAGATGTTTTGATAATAAATATTTAAATTAAAAATGTTTTTATTACAATCAGCACTAGAACTAAAATTTAAGCCGCTCATTGCTCCATTGGGCCCAACTGATTGCCCTCCACTATCAGTTGGCCCTCGCCGTTTTTTGAACGAAAATTAAACGGACGCACCGCAATGTTTGTAGGCCATAACTCGGGGACCAGCAACTTTGGAAGCCAAATGGGATCGACACCCAGCTTGAAATTTACAAATCGCAGAGAGATAGGATCCACGCCATTCTTAACCAGTGGAATACAAACGATGGTATTTTCATTAATTCCAGTATGTCGAGATATGTGCGCTTTCAATTTCTCGGAAGTAACCGAGGCAGAGAATGGCGAAAGATGCAGCCATTCCCTTTTCGATACAGCGCTAATATCACTATTTATGCCCGACCCAACAACCAAAGGCTGCCCAAGCAAGCGCGAATTACCTTGAATGGCTCTGATGTTGTCATTCTCCATGACTGCAGTGTTAGAATTTATCGGCATATTACTAATACCAGCTACTGCATTAGCATCATTAGAAGCGAATTCAATGTCATTTTGAATTTTATTTTTATTTTTATTTTTCCGTCTATTACTTCTTTTATTTTGCACAATTTTCCAA